GTCTCCTAAAACAACATAAGGACTATACGTCGTTTAGTATGTAATTGTTTTTTCACGAATGTAAAACTTTGTGTACTCGTGTAGGGTAGTACGGCAACTCAAAAAATGGAAATTTTCGGACGGGTCTCATGTTAACATATTGTGGGTGTCAAATTTGTTACTTCCTACGTAACGAGTACTAATTGTTACACGTTTATTGTCGATGGTATTCTCGTTTACGGTATGTCGACGGTCGGACTACACGAATGGAGTAAGTACTCCGATTGCGTGGTCCATTCGTCTTTTCGTACCACAGATATACTTGTTATTTCTTATGTTTATTGGAAAGTGTTTTGTCCATAAAGTATTGACGATGTCATTTCCTTCTGTAACTTCTATAATAACCGGTGTCCGACGACATTTGATTTGTGAGTGGAGAGACTGTTCTTTGGAGTGACTCACTAATTCGAGTATACCAGATTTGAAAGTCCAAAGAGGAAAGGTCCTGCGTCTTTGGGTATGCAGCGGAGATTACACGCAGCGTTCCAAGGAGGCCTGTGAACCCATGACATTTTCGCGACGTCGTACGCATTGGTTAAACGCTCACTAATAAAGTTTCAACTGGCGGACATCATTATTCACGGCGCGTGTATATGGTAGTCTGCAATGACTACCCACGCCGACGCTCACGCTATGACACACATCGTTCAGGGCGTAGATCCTGCCTAGATACATTATTACCGACTCTGGACAATCATTATTTCTATGAGAGTATGTTTCCAGATGCCTTTGGACATAATGAGGAGGGTACTGGGACGCCGTTGATAATGCGTATTTCCTAAATGTGGCAGCAAGAACCTTGTTAGTCTTCACACGGTTTGGCAACCTCACAATCCAAGTACACACCAACTATTGACTCTGGAGAGCGGAGGCATTCACCCGGCTTCATTTATAGTTATTCTTGCAGAGACGCTCCAACTGGTTCTACTCCCCTAAATATACTACTTAAGCCAGAAAAATGGCGCTACGTTTCTGCGATGCGTTAGCTACGTAGGCGCTCAAGTTGGGGTTTGACATCGGCTACACGTGAGAAAGTGCTGGGCCACGGGAGCGGTAGACTTTGCAAATACGGGCCCAGTGGGCACGCTTAGCCACTTAGCATTGTAGAGATCACATCTGGTAAAGGAGTTTGCACCCCCAAACTAATCGGGCGCAATAGACAAATGGTTCTTGTTGATGCGTCACGGCGGGGAATCAGCCTCTTTCCATTTTGTGCATTTCCGGCATGGAGCATTTTGTTGAGTTATATTGTACATTAAAGGAATAAAAACCAAGCATTTTATATCAAAAAACCCTTTCACTCAGATTTGTATTATTCCCGGGACAATAGTCCGAAACCGTTTATCCAACCAGGGATTGTGTACTCATTCCCCGTATCCGATTCTATGACTCATCCGGTGACGTTTTTTGTCGAGAAGGAATTATTGAAGTATCATTATTTTTGCATCGTGTTGAATCGTATCGTATCGCCCCGAATCGCATAATGTTGAATCAAATCGTATCGAACCGTATCGCAACAGGGGTGAATCGTATCGTATCGCATCGCCTGGTGTTTCAAATGTATCGTTAATGTATCGTATCGTGGCAACGTATCGAGATGCGCATCGCATCGGCCTCAGTGATGGAGATGCACATCCCTAGTCTACACACAACTGAGAAACGTTTTGTTAGAAACAAGCACTTTAATAAACAAAAAGATACAATAAAACTCCACGGCTGAGAACAGTGGTGAAAGCACACGTTCTGAGGACAACTGCCCGAGAGTTGTTGTTAGTAAAACACCTTGCACAGAAACACGGTTTTGAGCTGCTACTAGCTTAATTAATTTAGCCCTGGAATTTACGGTGACCCAGAAGAAGGAATATAAAGTAAACATATAGCTAGCTATCCAGCCAGTTACTTCAATGTGGGCGCTTTTATGGGATGAATGACGGGTGGTTTTTCTGCACAGAAGAATGCAAAGGACAAACACCTGGTTTAAGGTAAGACCCCTTTCTCTGCTACAATACTGAATGCTCATGTTTACAAATTGCGTGTTCTATTAGCTGCGTGACAGCTTGCACACATTTTACTTTAAGTGTGAAGTGCAGGTGCCAGTTACTGTAATTAAGGTTTGGTGGTTGGGTTGGTAAATAGCATAAATAAGTTGCCTGATAAACTCGACAAAAGATTGTTAGTAAATTCAGTGATGTGCTTTGAACATGTTCCTCTCCTTTGATGCTCATCTCCAGCTGAGGGTTTTTGTATTTCCGGATTAAACGTGACGCACGAAATATAGATAATAATGCAGTTATCTAAAAGGCTTTGACTCTATGTGCTTTTGGATAAGACATCCACATATAAGTATGTGGAAATGCGGCACAGAGATGGAAGTACTACTACAGAAATGCTACAGTGTAAAAAAAACTCAGTTACAAGTAAAAGTAATGAATTTAAAACGTTAATTAATTATAGTACAAAAGTATAAGCATCAAACTATACTTTAAAGTAGCAAGTTAAAGTACTCCTTAGGCAGAATGGCCCATTTAAACACCATCTTTTTTTTAAATGATTATAAATGATTGATGCATTTGCATTCATCACTTCAATGTCCTCACAAAAGTGGGGTTTATTTGAATTACTTTATATACTACTAATTGCTTTACCTATAATAATATATGATAATGTATTAGTTGATTTATATTTAGTATTAATAATAAAGCAATGTAACTAAATCTGTACAATAAAAGAAAACATAGCAACATTTGCCTACAAAATCCAGTAGAGTAAAAGTACAAAGTAGCATGACGTGAAAATACTTATAACAAATTACGGGTACCTAATTTTTTGTATCCTAAGTACTTGAGTAAACGTACTTGGTTACTTTACACCACCTATAGTGTTGCAGGGCATCCACTGAGTGTGTGCACAGGCATCTGTAGTCATAACTATGGTAGATCACAGCCTCATCTCTTATATCCAACCTTTACATGAAAGGACATGTTAAGTTTTGTGTTTTTAGTGGTTTACATTGCTCGAAAACAGATAATTCCCATTTTCTTGCTTTTCTATTGTTTATCACTTATTTTTACGTGTTCAAAGTTATAGATTCTGTATGTATTACTGTGAGTGGGCTCTCTCACTGACTTGGTTTTGTTGTGTAGTATCAGCTTTATGGAATTACTATATAGTTTTACTGTTGAGTATTAGTTGGCCAACATGTTCTATCCTGATATAGGGAATTTGAGTTTGATTGTGCCTGTTAATATCAATTGAGCCGATACATGATATCAATAAATGACAACATTGAAAGATGATAAATGATAATTTCGAGTTATCTGCCAGCTCTACTAATAAGACCGATTACCAATTTTGCTATCTGTTTGATTGAGCTGTATAAAAATTAGGGTGTTCACTGAAAGATAGGGGAACATTTTATATTTAAGTTGTATAAAGTGTTTTTTAAGCAGTGAGAACATGAACCGGAACTGACTGAATAAAGAAGTACAAGTGAGCACACTGGAGGCATACAATATTACATCTCCAAATAACCAGGACCTCTTACATCTATTGCAGCCAGAATTTCCTGGGACCAGTGCTGCTTAACTTACAATTCAAGTTGAGTGTATTTGTTACAAATTTTCCTTTTTAAAGATATATAGAAAGAATGGTAAAAAGGGCACTTCTCATAATCATTTAACAAAAATGTTTTAAAACAAAAAGTTAAATATAGTTGCACGTCTCTGACTTACTGACCAATTTATTTTAATACCCTCACACTCACGCAATTGTTTAATACTCAACAAAATTATTCAAAAGAATCAGCTAACACAGAGACTTCTTTAGTATTCAAAGCACAAGAGCAGACTACAAACTAGTACAATTAATAGTTATTAAATGAGCAGCAAACAATCAAAATTATGAACTTACTGTATAACAGTGGTTCTCAAAGTGGGGGGCGCGCCCCCCCAGGGGGGCGCAGAGGCATGACAGGGGGGGCGCGAGAGACCAGGAGGAAAAATGGTTATACTTTTTTTTTTTTTTAAATATTTAATTTTTTTTTTTTTTTAATTATTGATTCGAAAATAATATCATACAGTACTATTACGTCTGGGTCTCTGTGTTTCATTAAAGCTTGGCTCTGTGTGCGTTTGGGAACCGAGCCATTTTTTGTGTGCGTGCGCCAGCGAGAGAGAGGAAGAGAGACGCACCGGTACCAGAGATTGTTGTTGGTTAGCTTCTGGTGCTAAGCGAGCTACGCTAACGGATATAAGCGAGTTTTTCCAACAACAAAGGTAGAGAGAGTCCTCTCTAGTCGTCAGACTGAGAGACTCGTGACCTAAAGGACTCTCTCCGTGTTATCTCAGTGGGTCTCAAACGTTTTGGTCACCATTAATGTAAACAATTATTATCCGAGGCACACGTTTATATGATCATATAGAGTTATGAAAAACTAAGAGAATAAATTAAAAACAGGTATGAAATACCTATAATGAATTAAAAAAAGAATAAAGTTTAAAAGGGTGATTTGTAAAATACCCCATAATAAAGAAAAAGTAAATCTGTTTTACAGTTCTGTTTCAAATAGGGTTAGGAGAAGGTATCCATAGATCTCTTCATGTTGCTCTCAAAAGTGGGCACGCAGATTGAATGCTTTCACTTCAATATTTAAAAATAAATCTCACCGGGGGAGCTTGCCCCCAGACCCCCCTATGTGAGGTCCACACACGCCACCTATAAAAATAGCAACTTACCCCTGCTTTACACCTATATGCCGTGAGCTGAATTATTCGAGCTTCTTGTAACAGTCGGCGGGTACGTGGGTAGAGTATACTGTGTGGGGATTGTTGCAGTAGAAAATTCCACTGTAGCGCACCGGTACATTTAATGGGATAACCCTAAATGTTTGAGCACTCTCTATGAAACGTCAAGCTACTCCACAAGCACCCCCCAAAATAAATTACTGGCTGGCGCCACCACTGAGCTGCGACATTTGTGTTGGGGGGGCCCGACTTCTTTTTCTCAAAGGGGGGGGGCCTGACACGAAAAGTTTGAGAACCACGCTGTATACAGGACATTAGCAGGCAAAAATATCGTTTTCCATGTAGCTTGTTATATTTGGTCCTATTTTGCTTCCATTTTTCCTTCACACTCTAATGAGAGATAAAAACTTCCAAGAAACAATATATAGAACTGGTGTTCGTTTTGACTACCATGGAGTCTGAATTTATCTATAGAATTAAAGCCTAATCTGCATTTTAAAACATAACATTTCAGGGGACAAATAACTGACCTGAGGGATATGTTTTTTGTTTTTCGTTTTATCCTTTTCACCCTGCAATGCCTTTGTAACTGCAGGTAGGGGGGTAGAGAGAGCTCCGGAACTTCACAGTCTAATCTCCGACCTGAGGTTTTTATTTGTATTCCAATCAATATTATTTTTGGGAAAGGGAAAACTGTGCGCAAACAGCAGTATATTTCAGTTTATTTAAAAAATAATAAGGGGGAAAAAAGGGCACTTTCTTGGAGGAAGAAAACGGCAGGGGCTCAACCCACATAAAGCTGCAATTCCACTACAGCGCGGAGCTCGCTTTAAGCGTGTTCCGGCCGTTTTTGGTTGCGTTTCCACTCGCATAGTTCCGGGCTAGCCGGGTACTATTTCACGAGTTTTTCTGGCCCCATAAAATCGAGGTTCT